GGCGCTCTTTTTGGGATAGATGTAAGTAATTTTGGTTGTATTTGACCCTCCAAATAGATAAACTAAGATTAATTTAAGGAGTTACAAGAGTGTAGTTTCTTTGGTTAAAAATATTTCCTTTTTGTGTAGATTTTAATGAAGTTGGAAATCCAAGGCTATAGCTCCAAAGCCAAAGTTGTAGCCACGAAGCCTGAACCAAAAAGAAGTGTTCTAGAGAGTTAAGGCTATAGCTTCAGATCCAAAGCTGCAGCCACGAAGCCTGAACCAATTCCAGAGAGTTGAAGCTTCAGCCATGAAACTAAAGCTCCAGCCTCAGAACATTCTAAGCAGTCCAGAAATTCAGAGCTACGGCCCCTATTCCAAAGCTACAGCCTTGGAGCTTTGTGCATCTTTGAGCACTTCTAAAGCTGCAGCCACACATCCAGAGTCGCAGCCTTAGGTTAAAAATCCCAGCTTTCACGTGGACAAGACGTATTTTAGGGCAAGAAAGGAAGGAAAAGAAGGAATGGAATGGAAGCAAAGAAAAATAAAGAGAAAGATCACCCAGGAGAAGATGAGAGCTTGAAGATTAGATTTGAAGATTTGCTTGCTTGGGAACGAGGACCCATCTTTATTTCTTCTCTTCTATTGTGTAATCTCATCTTTTTATTTGCTATGACCCTCACCATGAGTGGCTAGTTTCTCTTGAGTTGGATTCATTGTAACTACTAACTCTATTTCTTCTTAGATTTATATGATATTCAGTTCTATTACTTGTGTTTAATTCTTCTTTTAATGCTTAATCCAGTTTGTTCACCCGTTTTATGATATTAGGTTTTTGAACTTTGTTGGGAAACATTTTCAAAACCCTGAACTGAATCATTCACCTAATAATCTCTTGTTCTAGGAATAGACTTGATTTTGCTAGTCATTTTGGTTCAAGTTATTGTTTTAATGCAAGGTGTTAATGTTATATCATAGAGGAATCATGTTTAGGATTAATCACCTTAGGGCTCAATTTTGAGGAATCTGGTAGAGCTAATTATTAAACATGGAAGTAATAGAAGTGGAATCATATTTATTTGATGAAGATTAAAGAGTTAGAAAGTATATTTGAATCCAATCTCTTTCTCATATAAGGTTTTTTATTAAATTCATACGATTGCTTTTAATTGCTTTATTATAAACTTAAATCAATATTTCATTCACGTTCTCCATAAACAAGAAAGGAAATTATTAGTATCACCAAATCCCTGAAGACAATATCAAATTATTACAACGAAGCTTGGTCCGCTTGCCAAGAGTGAAAAATCCTTCACCAGTTATGGAATATAATCTGATGTTGGCTTCATTCTCTTGACTTGTGTTTTTGCAGAGTGGTTAAATTTGGGGGGAAATACTGACTCTAGAATGTTTCAGCTCTTAGTCTTTTCCTACAAAATGTCAATTTAAAGCGGCTCTAATAGATTTACAGAATACTTATGTTAACACAGCTTCATAAAAAATAAAAATCAACTGCTCTGATTTGAAATGACCTGTCATCTCTTTGTTTTATTTTGTTTGATCGTTTTAGAGAATTCTTATCTATTTTGATTTGATTATCGCTTTATGATATTAATATAATATTAAATATTTGTTTTTATTATATTTTTAATATTTTTTAAATAATATTCTTTTTCTTTTTCTTTTTTAATACGTATTTTATCGATAAAAATCTAAAAGATTCGTGAGTATTCGGAGAAGTTGCATAATTTTTTTTTAATGAAGCCCAACATATTAATTGCTTTTAAGTTCTATACCAAAACTATAACCATATCAAACAAAATAATGGAACAGAGAAAATACAACCAATTGATCGAGATACTTGGAAGAATACGAAATTATCATTTTTCATTGGCTACTGTACTTTAAATTTATTGAAAAAAAAGTTTGTAATATTTACTTTGCTTTCCTAAGTTTTCTAATTTGTAATTTTGATTTGAATTTGTATGGCAAATGAAAATTGGACTGGTTTACCATCCTGATTTGAATAAGGACTGATGCAGGTATATAGAAGGGAAGTTTTAAAAGCTTTTGACAAATAAGCCGATATTTTTTATGTCCGTTGAATGACACTTGATACCCAAAATATGTGCAGAAATTTTCCAACAGATATGAAAATATGTCTATTGTTCAGTTTGAGATTATTTCATGGTCCTTTTTTTCTGTTTTGGGACAGTTACAATAAAAAAAAAATTTGCCCCCCGAGAGTTCTTTCCAATTCCATCAAAAGGATTTTGGATATGTAATATGTTGCACCCGATGATTGAAACTAGCTAGTTTGACATCATCTAGTTTTTGCCTTCCTGAAAGGCTGAAACTGAAACCTCCGTATTGTTGTGCTGAGAACCAAATTAATTTAGAGGTTATATCTACAGGCAGATGAGAAACATGGAATGTGTGTATGATAGGACTTTGTTATCTCTTTTTACGAGATGTTCATTATTGATTATGGGTGTGCTGCTTCTTTGTTCCCCCATACAAGAGTGAACATTAATGCAATTGCAAAATGCATAGTTAAGTGTAACTTTCAAACCACTTTTTTGTTTGAGTTACCTAAAGTGGTCAAAGTGGAATAACTTGCTACCCACACACTCCCTTTTTGATCTTATGGTGTTGAGTGGGATTTTCACTAACCAGTAAATCTGATTCAATAACCCACCTTATAGGGACCAGATTACTTATGGTCCCAGATGATCATATGAATATATACTGATATTCCGGTTGATTATGAGTTTACTCTATGGCTTTTTATCTATTTGGCACCCAATATGGAAGTGTCTGCAGTCCTAGCTCCAATTATAGTGTTGATTCGTGATCGATTATTGCTTTCAACTTTTTTGGGTGTATAGTTTATTGCCTTATCCAACCACTGATACGAGATCCATACGAAATTTATTATTATGGAATCACTTGTTATTCCACCCCCAGTGTTATCTACTTGGTTAATTTCACCTGGTTGAAAATGAGTGAGATTGATTAACGATGAATCGTGGTAATAGTCAGCAATTTTTAGCTCCATCAAATCGTCACATGCAATACGTACACAACCTCAACAATCCAAAATTATGCATCAAACCATGCCCTTTGTTATGACTCTTTCAGAGTATTATTGCACAATAGTGCATCGATCGATTTTACTTGAAATGAAAGGGCGATAAATATATGCTAAATTTTTTATAAACTTTCGATTTTTGTTGGTACACAACTCCCCAATTCCTTATTCTATAAGCATGGGTACCGAAAAATTACCCTTCGGATGGGATGTATTTTTTAGTTTTTACATCTTTATTATGTGTTGCAGATATTGTACCTATGCTCAAGTTTCATTGTATTAGGACATAAAGGGTAAATTAAATATCCATATTCCACTCCAAAACATCTAAAAGTACAAAATATCCTGTATAATCATAAATATCCAAGATGAGTTTTGTCAAGAAAGCTATCAAGACTAATTAAAACAGAGTTGACCGTTTGAGTGTCTACAACATGCCTTAGATGTTAAGCTGTTTGCGAAAGCATCCTAGCTACATGCATGCATCACAGTTCATGGGGTTGTTCTTTCCAATTAAAGCCACGTATTCGTGAGAAATTATTTCCAATGTTGTCATGGCTGAACTCTAGGGTATCTACACCACTTTAGTATTAGCTTTTGTCATGAACTTTAATAATTAATCTTCTTTCGGTTGAGGCTGACTGGTGGAGCCTTGATCAATTTTTGACGGACGGTACTAACTAATGACTCACATCGTTGTTAATCCTATTGTAGCGAGTATTTAAGAAACTTAGAAGGAAGAGTAATTGGCAGGTTAAGGTTACTCATCCGTAAATTTTCCTCAATCCTCTTAATTTGAGTTATTAACTCTATTTTAGTGAGTCTTTTTGTTGTCACAAAATTACTTTAACTTCAATAATAGAACTTAAGTTCTTAATTTATCTTTATTCACAAAAATATTTTGAGTGAGCCGTATCCTATCTTTATTCACACAATAACTCTCAATTTTAACTTTAAAAAAAATTATAATTAAGCATAATAGTTGTTTATAAAAAAAATCTTAAAAAATCTATGTATTCCAATTGTATTTTTCAAGTTGTTTAAATTAAGAATAAGTTTAAGCCACTTCATTGAAGATGTTTTAAGAGAGGTGAGAATATTCTATTGAACTATATTCTTTATTAGAGGCAAGCTATATCTTCAAATAATTATAGAAGATATTTCTTTATTAGGGAAATATATTATCAAAGAAAAATTTATGTAACTGGCATCTTAATCAATTTTAAACAATAAAGGAATAAAGGAATAAAATATATACATACTTTAAAATCAATTCTTTCTCTTTTTACTGAATGAGAGACCTAACTCCTAAGTTCAAAAAACAAACTACAACAAGACTAAAAACAAAACCTCACAACAGAGAAGTATCTCCCATTTTTCTTGCAAAAGTATATGTCTTTTCAATAGGAAGAAATAATATTAAATCGATTTCCCTATTTTGAACCTTGGAAAATTGCCCAATAGAACACAAATTTCTTTAAAAGCATACAATAAAATATAGTTAAAAAACAGCTCAACCCGTTTTCAATTTTATCAACTAATCAAGAGATATAATGAAATTAATCATCGTTAAAATTTTAATTTTTATTTAAATAACTATTTAATCCATAAGTTCCTTCTGGCATTGGGTACCAACTGATCGTAGAGAATAAAGTTGGAAGGAGACGGATCAAAAAGAAGGAAAGACATTAGATCAAACAAACAAGGGTTACAAGGAAGAAAAGAATAATCCCTGTTGTTTTCTTTCCATGGTACTTTGATCACATGCGAATATACATATACTATTTTTCGAGAAGAGGAAAACACTTTACGCGTCTCGTGGGCCCAAAGTCCCAACCCCCGAAGATCATGTGCGAGATTATAATTTCTTTCGATACTTGAAAAAACAATTTTACCCTCAAAATCACACTAGAAAAATATTGAAGAATTCTCTTAAACGTGAACAACTTGCTCTCATTGATGAATAAAGTAACAAAATTACCATTCCAGAACTACATCATAATTCATAACACAAAATCAAACCGCATATTATTGAAAAGGAAAGCGTAATCTTCGTCATCATCATTATCATAATCAGAAATCCTTAAGCAGCTTGCGAACCTGTTCCAGCGTCACGAACAGCACGACGGTGAACGGTCCCTGCCTCGAGATCGTAGGCACAAACCCCTTGTAAAGGGCCATGGGCCCCTCCGCGCGCACCGTCTTCAGAGCACAGTCCAACGCGCCGGCGTACGGCGGCGCCGCCCCGGGCTCCACCTTCATGTTCATCACCCTCGTTTTAATAACGTCCACGGGGTTGGACGCCACCGCGGCCACGAACCCCGCCGCGAAGCTCGCCGTGACGTGAGTCCCGAGCCCGTCGCGCATCAGACCCTTCTCCAGAATCATCTCCTTGAACTGATCGTACGACGCGAGCTGCGATGCGGTCACGAGCATCGCGCGGTTCACCGTAAGCGATGAGCCTCGCCACAGGCTAGCCACGCCCTCGCTCCGCGCCATCCGCGTGATGGCGTCCACCACGGACTTGTAGTTGCGCCGCTCCGCCGCCGGGAGCCTCCCGTCGGCCTGCATTCGGACCATGGCCACGTCGGCGGGGTTCCCGACGGCGGCGCCTACGCCGCCGGCGATGAGACCGGCCTCGATCTTGCGGGTGAGCGGCATGGTGCCGGCGGCGGGGTCGGTCCACTTGGTCTTGAGGACGTCGTAGAGGCCCATGCGGGTGGTGGAGTAGAGCATCTGGCGGAGGACGGTGGCGGAGACGCCGGAGAAGAGTGCGGCGACGCCCTCCTGCTGGACGAGGCGGACGCCGACCGCGATGGGGCCGACGCGGGGCTGGGGTAAGGCCGCCACGTGGACAGTCGAACCGGTTTGGAACGCGAGTGCGGGCCGGAGGTTGTGAAGCGGTTTAGGGACATTAGTTTCGCCCTGGAGCTGCATGCGGACCTTGATGAGGTCGAGTGGGTGTGTGGAACATCCTGCGATGATGGAAGCGATCCCTCCCTCAGCGAAACCTTTGACGCCCATGATGTTTTTGTTTGGAATGGAGTGAGGAGTGAGGAGTGAGGAGTTAACTAGGGTTAGTTGTGTTGGTTTGAAAGAATGAGAAAAGGTTGAACTAATGAGACCAATTGGAATTAGGGTTCATCTCACTGGAGACCAGGAGATGGGAGTGGAGGCCGCAGGCTATGGAAGAAGAGTGTGGAACCGTGGGCCTTTGAGACATATGCTGAAACGATAGGTTTTGGTTTTGGTGTGAGGAGAGAGAGAGAGGGGGAGAGGCTTTTATAGGGGCACTAGTAGCGTGTTGTTTGGAAGGTACTAGCTAGCAGTAGGAACTAGGAAGGATCTACTTTGTAACGCGATTACAGGACGCGCCAACTTGTCAAAAGTCGAATGGAACCACTCTCTCTCTCTCTCTCTCAATAAATTCACGCGCTTCTAGGAAACAGTCCTTCTTTTCGGGAAATTAAAATATATCCGATTAATTATATTTGTTTAGAAAATTCATTCGTCTGTTAAATTTGACGTCAATTCATAATTGAGGAAACTCACGAAAGCCAATGCGTTTTTGAGATTTTTTTCTTTTTAAGGTAACATCGGATGAGAATTCGTCAAAATACATTCAAATCTCTCGATTTTTCTAAATTGCACTAATTTTTTTTTAAATCTTTTAAAATCATACACACTTTTTTAGTTTCAAGTAAATATTAATTTATTTATTTATTTATATAAGTAATACATACAATTCTTTATATAAAATAATATTATTTTTATATTATTAAGAAAATATAAATTATTAATATAAGTGTCTATAATTAAATAAAATTTGATTTTTTATTCAATTTTAATTCTCAAATCTTATTTCAATTTAAAAAAATAAAATGACTTCAACAAACAATTTAAAAAAATAAATTGAGTAATTATTATTTTTTAAAATTAAATATAATATTGTTTATAAATGAAGAATAAATACATATATAATTCATAAAATATGAATTTTTTTTTTTCATTTTAACTAATGATATTATTTTAGAAGAGATGAGTGATTTTTAGAAATTAAGAAGAAAGTATGTCTCATTTTAATATACTTGAGGAGATATAAGTGCAATATTTTCATTTATTAATTATTTGAAAAACATATATTCATATCCATTTAATATTATTCAAAAAGATATGATCTTAATTATTTAAGAAACGTTATATTGTCTTTGAAAAAGAAAATAAAAGCAACATTATATTGTCTCTCCCACAATAGATATCGCTGTAAATATTAAAAAAGAATTAAGAGAGTTTTGTGTAATTTTAAAAAATCTTAGGAGATGTGTAATTTATTATCTTTATTGATTTATAAATTAAATAATAAATGTTTTGTGTGCTTTATGTTTTTGTGAATAACTTTTACTTTAAGTGAAAATAAGAATCAAAATATGCGATTTTGATAATACAATTTAGTGCCTTTTTTAATTTTACATTTTGAGAATCTACATCAATAGATATAAGATATTTTAATTAATTTTTTTTGTATAAAAGAATCCTAATCAGTATCTGTAGTGCACTGATTAAAGAATTAAAATAAAAAATAATTTATTAAAAAGTGTATCAGCACACTCTTTTATATGATTTTATTTTAAATTTTAATAAAAATTTTCTACATATTAATTTTTTAATCGGTATCTTTTGAACATTGTGAGACCCCATATCCGTTTTTTTTTTTTCTCTTCCTCACTATCACTCTCATACTCTTTTCTCCTTCCCTCATTCACTCTCAAATTTCTTTGTTTTCTCTTTGCCTTTGGTCTTTCTCTGGAACCATTAGGTGATGGAGCTGAGGAGTTGTGTTGGAAGCTAGCACAGGCGCAGGTTTTCTTTCTTCTCCATTGATTTTCTCCGTCCATCCTCCATCTTCTTCTCTATTCTCCGCGATCCCGAAGCTCGGATTCTTCACTGAGGTAAGGGAAGCTAGTTACTTTGCTGTTTTTGGTTGAGAATGTGTCCTAGAAACTCAATTGTTGTTTGTTGGTGGTTGATCTTTGGCTGAGATTTAAGAAAAAACTAGTTTTCGGGGTTTTTCGGGGTTAGGTGAAAATTTGGTGATCTTTCCTTGTTTGTGGTTGCATGTTGAAAAAGTTGGTATTTTCGGGTTGTATGATGAAAATATGATGTTTTGGACCGATTGCATGTGCCTGGGGTGTTGATTTTGCGGGTTTTGGGTGAGATTTTCGAACTGGAGAGAGTTGCTGTTTGAATTTGCGTCGGGCGCAGTTCTTCGCGCTGGGCGTGATTTGAAATGGACAATTTTTGGGTGAACCGCGCTGGGCGCGGGGAGAACCACGCCGGGCGCAATAGACCTCTGTAGGTCTCTGGTTGAGAATTGCGCTGGGCGCGCTTTTAATGCGCCGGGCGCGCATGTGATTTTCAAAATTGGACTTTATAGTCTTCATGAAAGTTGTAGCATTGGATTTTAGCTTTCCAATGGCGCTAGAATCACCCAAAAAGGAGTTTTAGAACTCTAGATATGGCTGTTTTAGTGAAGAGGGGTCAAGCTGCTAGCATTACTTATAGCTGTTGCGGTTTTTAGAATTTTTAACAAGGTAGATGAAGGATATAGGACCTGGTGACTTCATGAGAGTTGTAGGAAATCTTCTTATCTTTCATATGAGATAAGGATGAGTATGGTAGGAGTAGTATAACTCCTGATGCCCTGTTTTCTGTGAAGGTTGCCATTTCACTTTTAGTGATTTGGTTAAGTTGAAAGTTGTTTTAGGTGCTTAGGTGTATTGGTGTTGTTTGGGTGAGTAAGTTGACAAGATAGATGAGTTGTAAACAAGATGGTTGGGTCGTATTATGTGTTGAACATGTTGTGCATTGTGAAGTTGTTGATCATGCTATTTTAAGCTGTTAATGATTAGTGTTATTGAGCTGAATGATGATATTGATGTGCTGCGCGGAGCGCGGCCCTTGTCGCGCTGGGCGTGAGACTCCTTGGGAGTCTCTGCCTCGAGAGCACTGGGCGCAATTTGGTTTGCGCTGGGTGCGAGACCAAGGGAGGTCTCTACCTTGCCTGCGTTGGGCGCGGGTTGGGGCACGCGGGGCGCGTGAGACTCCTTAGAGTCTCTGCCTGGACTTGCACTGGGCGCAATTGGGTATTGCGTCAGGCGTGTGAGAGCTTTGAGCTCTCTGGCTAAGTCTCGCCGGGCGCAGGCACGCTAGCGCCGGGCGCGCTGGCCCTGGAGCCCTCTGGTTGTGCCACGCCGGGCGCGACCATGAGTGCGCCGGGCGCGTATGAGGATGTGCAGTTATATGCTGAATTTGCTGATAATATGGTTTTATGCTGATTAATGTTGCCAATGTCGTGTGATGAGAAGTTGTGTTGTGCTGTGTGATGCTAATGCTGAACCTTATTGTTGGAGTCGAGCTAAATGATATGCTGATAGTTGCTGAATTATGATGTAATCGCTGAGCTGAGGTGTAGTTGATAAATATGTTGTGCTGACTAGATGTAAATGCTGAAAAATGATGTTAAGTTGTAATGGATGTATATCGCTGTGCTGAGCTGGGCTGTTATTTATGATTTAAATACCGATATATAATATGGTTGTGCTCTAGAATGATGAGTTGAGTTGTGAGTAGTAAGCTGTGTTGAATACTACTAGCTGTGCTGTATGTTGAGGTGCTGTGCTGTGAGCTGTTTTGCTGTGCTGTTTATTGCTGAGTTGTATGTTGTGTTAGCCACTATTGTGGTGCTGTTATAGCCGCTATGTCGGTGTTAGCCACTATTGTGGTGCTGTTATAACCGCTATGTCGGTGCTATTAGCCACTATTGTGGTGCTGTTATAGCCGCTATGTCGGTGCTGTTAGCCACTACTGTGGTGTTGTTATAGCCGCTGAGCGGTACTGATATTGCTGAATTGTTGTGGTGTATTATAAGTTGTGCGGGTGTGTTGATAACTGTAGAATGTCTTCTATTCATATATTTATATATGCATGTTGTTTCTTTTCACTAGCTTACCCTTGTTGTTTCCATGTGGTTTGGACTGCGATGATCATACTACGTATGGGAGCAGAGCAGGGATAGGTTGGTGGCTTACGGCAGGTCTGCAGTTGGCAGATAGAGCTTGATTCTTGTGGATGATTTGGTGTTTTAGCTACTAGGTGTAGTAGCGATTGATGTATTTTGTACATTTGAATCTAGTCAGACTTGGGCCATGTATATATGTATATTATAGACACTATATATACACTTGTTCCTTTCTGTCCGATTTTCAGGTGTACTGTGTAGTGTTAGTGACCAGCTGGATCGTTACAAACATTAGTTGACAATAAATTTTACATAAAATATAAAATTATGGATGAGCTAATTTACATATCCAATAATTAAGTTAATCACAATATAAATAATCAATTATAAATATAAAATATAGTTTTATATTTTAAATATTTTAAAAAGAAAATTATAAATTAGTTTAAATGATTATGCACGTCAATTTATTGAGTTGAGTTTATTTTGACACTCTGAACCAACTAAAGCATTATGACCAAAATTAAGTTATGTTTAAAAATAATATTAGTTTACACAATATATCTTTTTAATTTGTAAAGTAAAATATAATATATATATATATATATACTGTGATGCCGAGCTGGGAGCTTGGCTTTGCGGCACGAATAGTACAATATATATATATATATATATGAGGAAGGATTTTTTTTATAGAAGTAAGTCTATCTAAATTTATTCTGTTCAATTACTCATGTTCTATATCAAATTTCAACGATCCAACCATTGAATTTAAAATTAGGCTATGATTCAGTAAAATCAAGTCACTTAGACTGTTTACCTGTGTTATAAGAGATTTCCTTATTGAAATGTGTGACAACGCATATAATTTATCTATTGTGCATATGCGATTGACTTGTTGAATTGTGTGATGCATTTGTTATGTTGTAATGTTGTTTAAGTTGAATAATCAGTGTGTATATGATGTGTTGAATTTATATGCTTACCCATTATGTGAATGATGTTGGATTACATTATTGAGTTATCTTAAGTTGAAATTATGTTATATTGTGTTGATAAATTGCATATTAATATTGTGTTGAGGTGGGATAAGTTGTTTATGTTGATAGTGTAGTAGTTTTAAATTCTATGCTGACTATGTTGATCCTTTACATGTTTTCATGTGACTGGATTATAATGATCATATTTGATATTAAAATAGAACAAAAAAATAAATTATCATTGAAATTCAATTTGAGGTTGTGCAAG